AATAGGCAAGGATCAAACTTGTTGATAATTGACTCCTCTGTTTATGTTGCCGTTTTAGGTTTTTGATTCCTTTCCTATGACACTTATGGTTGGGGGAGAACTCTACTCACTAGGTCTTTTTGTAACGGCAGGTTAGAAGTCCTTGAAAGTAAAATGAGACGATCAATTTTCATCTTGAATATTTAATGTGGAAGTATTTGCGTTTTCAGGTCAAGAAGATTATGAAAGGTTAAGGCCTCTTACATATTCTGAAACAGATGTCTTCCTTGTTTGTTTTTCAGTTGTTTCACCTTCTTCATTTTTAAATATTACAGCAAAGGTAAATGTATGCTTGGATTGTATGCTTACTTGTAATTTGATGCTCTTTCTAATTCTGTTCTAGCTATCTGATTGCAGTGGGTTCCTGAAATAACTAAGCTTTGTCCAAAAACACCATTTTTGTTGGTTGGCACAAAAATAGATTTAAGACAGGACACTGCAACAACAAAAAATCTGGATGAAAAGAAACTAAAGCCTATTTCATTTGAACAAGGTGAAAAACTTGCTAAGGAGTTGAAGGCAGTGAAGTATGTTGAGTGTTCAGCACTTACACAGGTGAGCGATTTTATCATCTACCAACCACACTATTTATTGAACTTTGCAGAATTATCGCATTTGGTTTTTTAACTTAGCTAAGCTAATGAAGAACACTTTCATGTCGCAGGAAGGGTTGAAGAATGTCTTTCATGAGGCAATCTTAGCTGCAACCCTCCAACAAGAGCCACAGCCTAATAAGAGTAGAAGATGCATCCTTATGTAGGTGGGTTTCAGTAGAAGGCAGCTGTGTAAACTAATCACTGCTCCCTTGGCAACCACTGCAGTATTAGAAAAGTTTGTAATTTTCAAGATCCACTGGTATCCCTGTTTCTCATTGTAAAGTCTTTGAAGAGACGAGACATTTCATATTCTTACTTTATCTGATGTTCTTTTTGCTTGGCTATTGTGATCTTTTTCTAAAGCACTCGCTCAGACAAAAGTTTGAGACACTGAAAGAGGTGTTTTATGCAATTGGTTTATTTTGTATGAGGTTGTTTAGTTTGCGGTTGTTTACAGTTACAATTGATTAGTCTTAGCTACAGACCCTTAGTATTTCTATTAAAAAATTCATAGGGAAGATATTGGTCCTTTTCTTGGTGGTGGAAAATATGTAGTCTTATCACCTATAGCATATTACTAATTTTACATTCATAGTATGCCTAGTAAAGTACCATTTTTTAAAATAGAAAACATGGAGTGTTCAGAAATAATGATGAACTAACCATGTTCTAGAAACATCAGGAGGAACCAAAAAATGCATAAATAAGAAATTTTCACAATTGTGATTACAGTTAAAGAAACACTGAGACCATCTGAAAATTGGGTGATAATGTTCTAAAAGATTCTTACTCAAGCTAAATAAAGTAAATATTTATACTTTTTATATACATATACTTATGAAGCAATCCACTTATTTACATTTTAGATAATCCAATAAATGTATATAATGAATGAGAGTAATCAGCATATGTCAACTCATCTTTGTAGAAATATAATGCAAATTTTTTATGAATGTTTTCAACCGCAAGAAAATAAACTAAGAGAACAGAGCTTCTCATGGGCCAGATACTGTCAAAATGACAATAGTATTTAAACTCCATTCAAATATGCATGAACAGGAAATCATCCTGACAACCAAATTACAAATTGTGACTTGGCAAGACCATTGAGTATTTGCTTATCTTTACACTCACATTCTTAAATTTATTTTAATAATAAGATAATTTAAATATCTTCCTCATGTAACATCAGTATGGCATTGTGTCACATCAATTGACATATTCATATGACTCACATGCTTTACATGGGTAGCACATACTTAATCAGGTAACATAATATAAATGCAACAAATAATTTAATAATGTGGGAAAGTTTACGTTTTATACAACGAAATTTAAGTGGCATGTTTATGTCAATTTGTAGTCTCTTTCTACTATTTTGTAAAATTTTCAGTCAAAGTTTTACTTGGTGGAAATTTGAGATTAAACCTATAATAATCACACACATTACGTTTAGTGCCAGCTGTTTTTCAAATAAATGGGAATTTCCACAGTTGGGAGGGAAGTAATGTGTGTAGGTACTTCAATGGACTGGAGGACCAATGACCAAGGCTAATAATTTCAGTTCAATAAGGGTATTTTAAATTGCAATATGCACCGTGGAATGGTTCTTTCTGTAGTATGTTTATGATAATAAGTATCTTTGGTTGGACTGCCACTTGAGAGGTACTGCTACCTCTGAACTTTTTTTCCCCCTGGTTTTTGACTTTACTGCACAAAACAAAGAAAACTATGTATTGGTCATTTTCATCCTAGCGATGCAGGTATTACATCTCCTATCCTATGGTATGGTCAATAGATTGAAAATGTATAACACATCTTAAAAGGAGACATCTATGCCTACAAATATTGGGTCATAAAACCAATGGTAAAGTTACTTCTACTTAGGATTTCACGGCAGTTTCAAAGCTTAATACAAATATCCTCAGTCTCAGAATTATGAATGTGAGATGACAATGATAGGTCACTTCGTTTTAACATGGTTTTGTCAGAATCATCATCTGTCCTACCTTCACCAGATCCCCAGCGACTTCCACTTCCCTCTGACATGTCTGATATAATACCACTCTCTGCAAAGGGAGGGGAAAAGAAGACATAAGTTAACAGGCAAACTGTAATTTTTATAAGTATCACAGCACAAAAGTAATGAAGTACCTGCAGAGCAAAGTGAAGTGTCTCCAGGGCGAGATCGGGACGAATTGGAAGAAGAGGAAGCATTTGATGAGGAGGAGGAAGTTGAGGTGGAGGCTCCACTGCTACTGCCCACAGAAATGACGGAGTGCGGGCGTCTTGCACAGGTACGCTCTCCCTCAGTGTGGGGGACTGAAGGTGAACCTCGTAGTCGAGGTCCTGTTGTACACACAATGAAATAGACGGTCGAATTACAAATAGTTGAGTATTTTTATAACTCATTAAGTCAACATAGAACGTGTATTTGTTTTGTATCTGGACATGCCCAGCCCATCAATACTTGGTACATTACCTTTGCTCAGCTGAGCAATGCTGACAGATCGGTCACTTATCTGATCTGCTGAAGGACGGATGTCGAGGCATGGTTTATTTCCTATTCCCATTGATGACATTTCTGCTAGCCGTACCTCTGTAGATATTAATTCAAATCAGTGAGTATTGAAGATAAATTATTTCTATTCAATGTATTCATTCAAGTTCATCAGCGTGCAGTATATTTGCATGTATGCCCATAATCATTTTAAAAACATGTTAAGAATGTGTGTTACCTCTATTTTTAAGAGCTTGTTTCCAAAGTAGCTGAGAAATATCTTCAGTCCACGCCTGTTTTACATCCTGGGACGCAGCTTGCAGGGTAAAAATATCATGTGGCTTTCTCTTCCGGAACCAAATTTCAAAGCGTGTAGAGTTATCACCAAGTCGAGCAGTTAATCCAATGTCAGTCATCTTTATGCTGTGCTTGTATATATAAAGGTCTAAATTCTAAAATAGAATACAAACAATCAGAAAAGATACATTAGAGAAGAGTTCTTTTAACAGTCTCAATAACTTTTGAGACAGTTCTCAACAACAAGAAATGTTCTCTACATACCTTGCGATCAGGAAAGCGCCGTGCTTTGCTAAACAAAATTAATTCTTCAAATAAGAAAACATGCCTAAGACACTTCTTTCCTTTGCCTTGCCACACTAAAAACTCATTCTGGCGCAAAAGTCGGCCTTGCTCTTTGACATTGACCTAAAAAATAAAACAATAAATTAAATAAAGCAACAATCAGTAATATTTGTTAAAAAGGCAAACTGGAAAGTACAAAAAAAAACCAATCTTAACTTACATCGCAATCACGCAATGAATCCATGGCTAGAAGGTCATTACCATGCCGAAGCTGAAAGCGAACCATCTGATCGGCCTCTGCTAGCTCTGACAACTGGCCCTGTTGTTGCTGTTGGCCTTTAGTCTGTTGGATAGTTCCAAGTTGCTGCTGCTGTGCAAGAGGCTCTTGTGCACCAGCTGATTTGAGCAGTTGCTGAAGTAGGAGGGCATATTTGCCCATTCGCTGAACTGGCTTCAGCAAATAGCTGGCAAGGTCCATTTTGTCTCCGAGTTCCACCTGTTTGGACTGATTGAGGACAACAGTATACAATAGGTTCAGCACACTCACATTGAATATTTAATATTTGCGAGATAGAAGCCTCTAACAAGAAGAAAACTACAGATCTTGATGAAAAAAAGAGGGCAATGAAGAAAGTAAATGGGCAACCTGGTATGATACACTACTGCCACATCGTGGGATGGCCTATTCTGCAAATGCAATGGGTTCCGTGAAACATATCTTATAATATTATTATATATACTTACTTTGAAAAAGATTGAACCATACTCCGACATAAGAGCATCTGACTTTGGTTTATTTTTGTTGTAAAGTGCATACAAATAAAACTTGCTTTCCTAAAAAGATAAATTATAGTCAAATAATATTAAAAATAGGAAGATTTAAAAAAAAACAAAAAAAAACAGATTTTAAGGATATTAAAATTATGACATACATGTCTTAAGAAACTTTGCCCAACACTAAGAGGACTTTTTTCACACCGCTCTAATTCTCTCAAAAATAATTGAGAATGAAATTCGAAGATCTTCTCAATGTTTCCAAAAATCACATTTCTCTGACCTCTTAATGCCTGAGGTATGTCTTCCCTCACCAACTCTGGGATGTAGTTCTGTGAAACCGAGTTCAAGTAAATAAAATCAATTCAATAAAATAACAAAGGAATGAAACAAATGTTCACACCATTATTTGCACAAATTACCTCAATGACATACTCTAGAGACCTAACATAGTCTCTCTCTGTTTGGATCATTTCTCGCATAATCAGAAGTAGAGTTCTGTAAAAGATATTTTTTGTTTAAGTCAACACATAAAACAGTTCGGCCCAAAACATTTAAAAGGAAATATAGCAAAACTAACTTCTGTTTTTTCCTCTGGAATTCTAGGGCGGGGTTGCCCGATTCTGACGTGGAATTCAGAGACAGATTGGACGCGTGAGTATGCAGATGGCTGTTTACTGGCACGGGGGTGGAAAGTTTGGAGCTGGAGGACTTATCATCATCACGATCCACTCCGTTCTCACCAGGATCATCGCCCTCGTCTTGCTCCTCCGCACTGGAAGAAGAACCCATGTCAGTCTACAGTCTACAGGTGCACCATACAACCATTGCTTCCACCACGCTTGAGTCCTATACTTGGTTTGGTTAGGATAGGTTAGGACTCTACACCACGTCACGACGTGCGTGCACGCACCTCTGAGGACAGGCCTCGCTCGGCTCGGACGAGTACCCGAGCTTGTGCTCGTCCACGTTTGAGGAGTCCGAGGCCACCGATGTGCCGCAGTCGTCGTCGAAGGGCTCGGCGGCGTACTGCCAGGAGCACGACCTCCGGAGAACGTGGCGTTCCGGGCCGTCGCCATCACCGTCGTCCTGGTGGTGGTTGAGGTGATGCAGGGGGTGGTGGTGGTGGTGGAGGTGGTGGTGGTGCGCCGAGCCCACCCTGTCACCACCCAGGCTGATGCCTAGGCCCCTGCCCTGGCTGCACGAACAGCAGCCGCTCGAGCAGGGGCTCGGGCTGGAGCAGGGGCCCGAGGAGGGGCTGCTGTCCCCACCGGAGCAGCAGCCGCCGAAGCCTGGAACGGACGACGCGCGAGTTAGAAACCGACGGTAGATCTAGGCGCCAACCGTTTAAGCCACGACGGGGGCCGCCTCACCTGAGTCGCTGCTGGGGCTGCCGGGGCTGCCGTCGGCTCCATGACTAGCGTGCGCCTCGTCGAGGCCGTTCTCCTCCTCGCGTATCTTGGCGAGGCCGTCTTGTACTCCGCCGGCCACGCTGCTGGCGGGGGACCCCGGCAAGGACGACGACGACGACGCCGTCCCGGCCGAGTCCCAGGCGCCGAGGGGCAGCCCGGCCACGGGCGGCGCGCCCGGCGGCGTCGAGCCGACGGACCGCCGCCGGCCGACCGGGAAGGACGCCGGCGCGGCGGCCGGGGGGTTGGTAGGGCCGCCCGGCAGGACGTCCTGCTCGCCGTCCGCCAGCTGCACGCGGGCCTGCAGGGCGCGGATCTGCTCCAGGGTCTCTTGGCAGCGAGAGTGGGCGATCTGCAACGGAGACGCGTGTGAGACACGGGCCCACCCAGACAACCACATCCGAGGGGACTTCACTATCTAGTCGCACCGATTTTTGTTTTTATTTTCTAGATTAAAAAAAAATCTTCGATTGTTCTGACTTTTCCTGATTTTTCTAAAATTTTAGAATTTTTTCTTAATTCCTGATGTTTTTAGTGAAGTACCCCTCGGTCGTCAGGCTGCCGCCCACCTTGCACTGCTCCAGCAGGCGCTCGTTGCGCAGCTTGCGCGCGAGCTGCAGCATCTCGGCGAGCTGCCCCTGGTCCGGGGGCGGGTGCGCCATGAGGTGGTGCTGGAGCTGCTTCCAGTCGGACGGCGTGCCGCCGGCCCTGGAGAGCCCCTTGCCCGTGGCCAGCGCCCAGCCGAGCGCGCGGTCCAGCAGGTGGAAGCACCTCGACGTGTCCTCCAGCCGCTCCCGCGTGCCCTCCAGGCGGTCACTGAAAAAAATAACGGAAGGAAAAATAAGTGACTATAGACAAAACGAAAGTCGGAAAATTTTCCGAAAAAAAATTCGCAACCTGTCAAGAAAAAAATTGAAAAATTTGAAATATTTCCAGAAAAATTGGAAACAAATAAAAATTTTGAAGAAAAAATGAAGAGGTTTAAAAAAAACATTTTTCTCAACTATACCTGAAGCCGCGCAGGGTGTGTCGCAGCGAGCGGGCCAGGTCAGAGAGCGTGCTTGGCTCCTCGCTCAGGCTGCCCCCGGCCGCCTCCAGTAGGTCGCTACCCTTGTCCAGGTGGCGCTGTAAACAAGAAAAAAAGACGCACATGAGCAACATGAAAAAAATGGCCCGCTTGAACCCGGCCGATTGCCCACTACACCACAAGGGTCTCTCCTTATCCAACACCCTTGCAGAAACAATCGCAGCTTGAAATATCTCTGTTTGCACCTGAGGCACGCTCGAGCCGTGTGGCCTTTTCCGATAACGCAGCATATCCGTTGCATTCTTTCACGACGCCATTCATTTCATTCATTCATTCATTCACGCATTCTTTCTTTCATTCACTCATACAGAGCGTATCGAGGCCGGGCACGTCCGGTAACCGATACCTTTTAGCTCCAACCTGCACTACAACAACTCTATTACTAGTCAGTCAGGAGGGTGCTTGCTTCCGGCCGGCGGGCGGGGCGGGGCCGGCCGGCCCATATCGAGTGCCCTGGCCTACACATCACATCTCTGGTCCAAATCTCGGCCGGCCCAGCCCGGGTCAGGCCGGCTCACACCGCCGTGGGGGCTACTCTGTATCGCCCCGGGCAGCGAGCTGCTCCCATTCGGCCCTCTCGATCAAACACTGGACAGCGCCGGCCGAGCGGGCCGGGCCGGGGCCGGGGCGCAGGAATACGGACCAGATACGGTGACTGAATACCGCCCCCCCCGCACCGCGCCCGCTCCCCCCGCTAGCCCTGCGCGCGCCCCCCACCACCTCCGCTGGAGTCGCCACTGCGATCGGCGCGTTCTTTTTCTCTCACTTCCTCCTCCTCTCCGTTCCATCCCCATCCTTCGTCCCCGCGCCAAGCAAGCTCTACCAGCATGGCCTATCCGTAAGGGAGGAAGCGCGCGCCCATCCGTTCTTACAAGACAAGACTGGCACGTGCTTAGCACTGTTCTGTCGATTGCCCACCTTTCAGGCGGGTCATTTCAACTCACAGGGAGCATTTTTAAAACAGTTAAAAGGGGGAATAGAAGCAGATTTGTGGGGCCACAGCAAGGGCTCTTCGAAGCACTCGTTGTGCCAGAGGTGCAAGGTTGGTTAAGCGCCACGGGTGGACGTCAATAGTGCACTTATTAAAACCAAACCGGTGCCGAACGTGCATCGTCTTAGTCGCGAAAGGGCAGTGGGCAAGAGTGGGAGGTTCACTGATAAAACAAATGTAGAAAGTTGCACACCAAATGCAAGAGACTGGGCATCGCCTCGGGGGCAAAATCGAAACCAGGGTTTTGCCTTTCCTCGAGGATACACTGTGAAAAAAAGTAAGGTTCACAGGAAAATTTTCCTTGACGTAAGTTGTAAAATTACAACAGTTTGTAATCGTAACAATACATGCAGTACGTATTGACTTAAAATGCATTGTCGAGTAAAAAAATGTGCTATCGTAAATTAACAACTGCAATTATAATTTGAGATAACAATTTTCTTGAAAATTTAATCCGCGTCAATTCTGCCGCGTAATTCATTGCGTTTCGTTTTGCGAATCAGCTGAGTGACAGTTGACGCCGAGAAGGAGCAGCGCGTAGTGCAGGCTGTAGACGAGTGGACGAGTGGGAAGGGATGCAGCGCAGGACGAAGGGAGGAAGAGACTCAGTAAGAACGGTAAGCACGGCGAGGTGGACGGTGTGGAGGCGGAGGAACGAGAAATGGTGGTGGGGGGCGCGCGCAGGGCCAGCGGGGGGAGCGGGCGCGGTGCGGGGGGGCCGGTATTCAGTCACCGTATCTGGTCCGTATTCCTGCGGCCGGGGCCGGCGGCAGGTGTTGGGTAACAGGCTGAGCGAAGCGTCTAGAGCGCGAAAAAAGGGTTTCGCGAGGCAGGCGAGACTCCCTCCCCGCGTCCGCTCCCCCCTCCCCCTTTCCTCGATCGGCTAGCTAGCCGGCCGTTTCCGCCAGACGTATCCGCGAGTAATTAAAACGGCACAGCCGATCACATTCGCGACTGCGACTCCGCAGACAGCACGCGCACGCGCGCGCGCGCGAGAGAGAGAGAGAGAGAGAGAGGGGGGGGGGGAGGAGGGGTTTCCACTCATATCTCATCTCTAGGATTCCATTTTTTTTTCTCCTTCGCACGACACACGTCAGTCTCTATGGCAAATTGTGCAGTGAGGCATTATTGGCTTGTCCTGTTTCTTTTGCACATCCGTTTCGAGTTTCCGCGAGACGACTCGCGCGCCTGAATACTCAAGCCAGCAGGCCGCTTCTCTGAAATGATGACTGGTCTGGCGATACACACACCACCGGACCACCCTAACCGGCGATCAGCTGGATATGAGACTGCGCACTCATGAGGCTCGATATAACCACCACCACCACGACGATGTCGAATCCCCCCCCCCCCTTCCCCATGTTTCCTCGCAATTCCCGCTGAGGGGAATCCTTCACTTCCGAGGGCGGCGTAAGCGCGCCGTGGCGTGGCGTTGCGTGGCGTGGCGTCTTTGGCGCGGTGCGTTGAGGTGCACCATTCAATTAGACACACCACCAGCGCCGCCGCCGCCACTGCGGGACGCGCGGCTCTTACTCTATCGCGTGGCGTGGCGTAGCTGAAAGGGGTGGCCGCTGCCGCTTCCTGTCGTCCCAACTGGAAATGGGCTCGCTACGCGCTCTATTCGCAGTTGTTAACTGGACATTAGGTGCAGCAGCAGCTCAAAAGCTACATAGGAACGGAGGAGGGGGGGTGACACTATTTGCAGTGTCCCCCCCGAGGGCTGCTGTTGCTGCTGCTGCAGGGCCCCGGGGCCCGCCGGTACAGCAGCGCCACCACCACCTGGACACGCAACCGCCTTGCTTGTGCACTGCTTGTGCTGTTGTGGTTGTGCCTGCCTGTGCCCGCCGGCCCGGCCTCCAACACTGAGCTGCTTGCCTTCCGGTTGACGCCCGGGCCAGGCACATCGCCCGCGGGCCGTTCAAACGCGCGTGACGTAACACGTTTTAGAGTGTGTGAGTGAGAGGGAGAGAGAGAGAAAGAGAGAGGGGCAAAGATGGTGTGCGAGAGAATAAAGGGAGGGGGAGGGGGAAGGGATGATACCACTTTGCTCTTTGCCGCCCGGCTAGCAGTATAGAGCCATCCGCTGAGATGGATGATAAACTCCTCGCCGATGTGCGACCATAAGCGGACACAACCCTCTTCCGCTAATAGTTGGGCCGAACACACACACACACAAGCAATGCGTGCGCAAATGTGGTACGCAATCACTTTGACAAATGTATCAAATTGAATGATCGCGCGTGGTGCGGTGCTCAAGAGCCGCTGGGGATATAGAACCGGTCGCCCCTCCCGTACCCCCTGTCCTGTCAGTATAAGGCTGCATACGGCCGGCCTCGGGGGGGTCGCCTGCGCACATCGGCGCGAGATTTACAACCGCGAGCGCGCAACCGGGGGACCGCCTGCCTGCTGCAGAAACAATACATACATACACAGTGTAAGTGTGCGCAATTTTGTTTTCGCAGGCAGACAATTAATTTAAGTCAGGAAAACATTATGGTAAATTATTGTGGTTCGCTTTCCACAGAATTTGGTGTATGACCTATAATGCCAGTTTAAAATCAACCACATCTGGGTTACAAACGCACTCATGGGGAGAGAAGGGAAAGGTCACATAAGTCAAACGAACAAAAAAGCTCTGTATGAGATGAGTAGTTCCTTGCAAAGGAGTGTCATAAATTTGTGACAACTTTTCACAAATATATTTAAGAAACATAAAACACCCAAAACGTGTGATTGTGAGAGTTAGCACATGATATTTATTGACTAATTATCTGTAAGTTTACTTTAAAAAGAAACAACTATTTTTCCTATGTGCTATGATGGGTCCTGGTTTTGACAGCCGTGGAAAATACAGCAGAGCGTCTCTCCTTTCTCCATGCTGCCTCGGTGCCAACAATAATAACGAGCGTTTCGCACTTGAAAAAAAAAAGAAGAAGTTAAATAAATAAAAAGTATACGCGGGCAAGCGCCTCTATGCGTTTTGCATGAGTAAAAGCAGACCGACAGGTAAGAAGAGAGGTGCGGCGCGCGCGGCACAACAGTGGGGAAACCTGTGGCTGTCGTGTGAGCGGGGCGCGGTGGGGCGGGGCGAGGTGTGGCGTCGGCGGAGTGCCCCATAGACCGACTAGCAAACGAGGAGCAGGGAATGCCCATCGCATCGTGGGAATCGGAGGAGCGATGGGCATTCCCTGCTCAGGGAATGCCCATCGCATCGTGGGAATCGGAGGAGCGGCGGCGCGGGCGGGGAGGGCGGGATCCAGTTTGTACAAGCCGCGCGCTAAACGGCCGGCGCATGCGCGCCGCGCACTTGTGAGGCGCGAGCGGCATGGAAAGTACGGAAAAGTAAACCTTGGGAGAGGAGCCACGTGATCAGAGACGATGAGGATCGTCCAGAAGGCACAGTTTTTATTTATTTTTTACTCATTTATTCGGCAAATGACTGCAAACGCCTGCGAGACGCAGGGTAGGCCACCCCGCAGTACACGCATGCACTGCAAGGCATGATGTTGCCTACCCATCAGGCGCTATGCGAGATATGGCAATTGAAGTTGTAGAGGCTGGCTGAACGTGGCAAGTTCCTAACCGTGAATGACGGACGTTACTTTCTGGATGGTCCCATAAGACGAACCGACACATCTGTCATGACAGTCCCATAACAGCACTTTACTTGAATGTATTAGTCGTACTCCTGAACCGAGGTATGAACCGAAAATACGGTTTCGTTTTGGCAACTAACTCTTGTCTCTGAATGATAATTCTTAGGTGCCACTGCGAATTTCTTGAAGATCACCAAATCAGCCAATGTATTTCGCTCTGACAACTAATCTTTCTTTTCCCCCGAGAAAGTAATGAAAGTGCACCAATATTTTTTTTTATCCGCTGGAACTGGAACTCTTTGCGCTCTGCTGTGGAAGAGCCTAAAAAGGAGGCACGGAGGCCGCGAGTGCGAGTCACAAGGAGCCGCAGCATAGAGACGGAAGCGGATGCAAGGGAAGGACCCCAGAGAGAGATTGAAAGGGGGGGGGGGAGACCGAGAGGGGCGTCGCC